GCAGTGGTAGCCTGGCCTGCAAGGGGGCCGCTGTATACTAAAAAGCCCTGTCAGCTCAGTGCAAAGTCCTTAACTGTGCTTGGCTTTCCCAGAGAACATTCCTGAGAAGTGGACTCCGGAAGTGAAACACTTCTGCCCCAACGTGCCTATCATCCTGGTCGGAAACAAGAAGGATCTACGGAATGATGAGCACACCCGGAGGGAGCTAGCAAAGATGAAGCAGGTAAGGGGGCTACATCACCTCTAGCTGCGATGCCAGCATCCCTTAAAGGAAAGCAACACATCTGTGCAGACACGTGTGCTCTTCCGGCTGTGCTGCGTATCCCCATGGCAACCGCAGTGCACGTGGGGTCAGGCGTGTTCTGTGGGGATAAGTCAGGCCTGCAGCTATTTGTAATTTCCTCTTACAGAGAGCCCTGGAGCCTCTCCTGCAGTCAGGGGTAGAGGGTGGTCGCCCATTGAGAGCAGCTTCCTCTGCACGAGGCAGTGGAGATCCCTGCTACGCAGTAACAGGGCAGTCCCTCAGCTCAGCCCAGACTGACCTGCTCATGCCTTTTCCTGCTGTGCAATTACTCCTGCAGAGGTTTACTGGCTGCTGCTGCCTCCAGTTCCTGTTAATGTTCCAGCAGAATCCCAGTCCCCGAGAGATGCCGGATACTAAAGCATTTCCCAAGACAATCCTGGCTTCTCTTCCGAAGAGGGAGGCACTCGGATAGGAGTAGTCATGGTTGTATCAGTACCTAGAGATGCTGAGCCTCCCTGACTGCACGTCTGGGCTGCTGCACTGGTGCTTAACTCAGCGTTCCTAAAGCTTTTTCTTTCATGACTCTTAGGAGCCGGTGAAGCCAGAGGAAGGGAGGGACATGGCTAACAGAATCAACGCCTTTGGATACCTCGAGTGCTCCGCCAAGACGAAGGATGGCGTGCGGGAAGTCTTTGAGATGGCCACTCGGGCCGGCTTACAAGTCAGGAAAAACAAGAAGCGTAAAGGCTGCCCACTCCTGTAAAGCAGCAATGCCCGTGAAGAATGTGACTGCCATCTGTACTGTATCTGTCTTTTCCTGCACCCCCACGTGTGTGAGAATGGGGTACAGGATGGGAAGAGCGCTGTTAGGTCTGATGTCTAGAGAATATAATGTGGCCTGCACCCCGCTGCCCAAAACCCACTACCTGAAGCACATATGGGGAGGTGTCTAGTGGTGCTTCTCTGTGCCATGCGTGGACTGTCCTCCTAAGCCGGTCCTGGGCTCTGAAGGGCCAAATGTCTTTGGACCATCTTTGGCAGACACTTCTGTTTTCTATACACCATACAGTGCATTTGAGTAGCTCTCGGTGTTGTACTTCAGTCCCATTTTATACTAATCCCTCATCCCCTGTTCCTGTCTGAAGCTCTGTACAGATTCTCTGCAATATTTAATCTCTACTTTCATACTGTTCGATTAGAGCAAAATAAGGAAGCTCTGACACAGTCTGCCTGTGGGTGTGTGTTCCTGTCCTGGCATCCTGGTTGTGTTTTCTTGAACTCTTGCTTTGTCTCCAAGCCAAGATGTTCAGCTGCTCCTGCTCCAGGGGGTTTTGGATTCTCCCTCTGGTTAAGGTGTACAGCACACCCACCAGCATTTTGTACACAGATTCACCAAGGCAGTCTCTGTTCTGTCTGTACTCAGGGCCTTGCCCTATTCCACCAGTGCTTTGCAAGGAGCTGTGCTCTGCTACTGTCAGAAATGCCTTCTGCTGCGCTTTCACCTTGGACCTGCACTGTGGTAGTGTCTTCTTATCCTCTTTCAATAAAGTAAGGCCTTGTAAAATAACCCTTGGCTGGGTCTTTTTCTTACACACTGATGTTTGCCTTGACGTTTGAGTCCACCCATAAATTAAAATGCATAGTTGGGAGAATAAATGCAAATTGGTATTTTAATAACTGTAACTTAGCGCCTGTGCACCATTATTCTGCCCCATGCATGCAGACCTCTCGGGTCTCCTGCTCTCCTCTCCACTAGCTTCCTGGGGATGTCCTTCATTTATCCCCATGCCATGCAGCTGGGTTGAGGGGCTAGAGCAGGGAGTTGCCAGTCAGGACTTCTCGGTTCTTGTGGACGAAATTCCTTGGTTTTGTCCATAACTTGCTGCATGGCCCTTAGGCACTATGCCTCCTACCTTGGTCACCTGTTGGCAAAATAAGAGCCAGAACTACTTGCTTCACAAGATGGTGCGAAGCTTCATTAACACACTCTGAGCGCCTTGCAAAAGGCCTGGAGAGGGGCAAAGGCTGCCTATTGCATCTTTCAGTTTCTTTCAAGCCCTAGTTCTAATCGCCCTGCTTGACTGACCAAGGCAGATTCCCCACCTCTGCCCTGTTAGGACAAGGAGAGGATGCCTAGCTCTAACTAAGATGGGAGTGACACTTCCAGGGAGGAATGCGTGAGGGTTATAGATCCCCTGCCAGTGCATGGGGTTGAGCACTTCGGGTACGTTAAGGAAGCTGAGCTGCTTTGGGGAGGTGAATTCCACAATGAAGAAATGCAAAAGGAAATGTCAGGAGTGGTTTGGTCAGAGTCCTGTGAACGCTGTTCCAAGCTGGCCATAGGAAATGGGGTGGCTCAACTTTCTTCCCTAAGAAGGGGTGTGTCTGTGTTCTGCACAGCTAACAGCAGTTCTCTTCTGCAAAACCTCATGCTGATTCTCCGCTGGGAACTCCCCTCAGAACTCCAGGGGTTTCTGCAGTGGAATTTCACCCAATGCTCACATGAGACAGGGAAACTGAAATCTCTTCCCTTTTCTGCACTTCGAAACTTTCTACAAAACCAAACCCGACTTTTGGACTGATAAAAACATTTTGATAAAGTCAAAACATTTTGTTATGATTTTGTCTTTGTTTCAAAAAGTGATTTTATAAAAAAAATGAGCAGTTCCGTGTTGATGTCAGTTGGGACATTTTGGCACCATCACAACACTTCATTCTGACATTTTCTAAATAAAATTTCACCAGCAGCTGCATTCCCGCAGATAGTTTTGTTTTTGTAAAATGGCATTTTCTGTTTGAAACCCGCTCTGGGAATGTTCTGTACACACTCTAGAAATGCTACCTAGCTCCCCGACACTGAGGAGGGGGAGCAAATTCACATGTACATTCAGGCCGTGCAAATAGACCTGGAGCATCCTGATGCTGTCGCCTGCTTTCATCATGAGCCTGAATGTTTGGAAGAGGTCAGGTTTAGAGTAGGGGATCGTTGACGGGATTTTCGGGCACCAGGAGTTTGTCCTCTCTCCTCCCTCTGAGCAGAGAGAAGGGGGATGTTTGAAATGAAGAAATACCACATTGCAGCATGCCCAGAAAACACCTTGGGGAACAGTACAGCCCTTTCTGTTGCCCTGTCCTGTTTGTGGCCAGCAGGAGTGGAGATAGAAAGCAATACAAATGCCTAGTAAGGGAAACCTGATAGCTTTGCATGTCTGCTGCACTGGTGAATGCCCTGTCAGTGCTGGGTTACTCTCCAATAGCCTCCCCTGCCCATTTGGGGGCTAATTATTTGTGAACTGTCTGAGATGCCCGATTGCCCACCCCTCTCTGGTTTGGGTGCCTGTTCCCACAGAGCAGCACTTTCCTAGCCTTCGGCAGGCCGTGCACAGCTCCTCTAGGGCCGCGAGCGAAGGAAAGAGACCATGTGCTCCATAACTGCTGCTCTCAACATAAACCTCCCATGAGCCAAAGCCTCTTACCAGCAGGGGTCTCCCCACACTGCTGAACTGGCACTGTGAGAGCAGCAGTGACCAAACTGGAGCCAGTCACAGCACACTGCAGTGGGGCTCGCTGCCAGCAGGAGGACCCAAGGTGGGCTGGTATGGTCCCTGCTGAAGTCCCTACTGTCGGTACGCTGCTAGTTCAGCTATGGCTAAAGGTGCTGCAGTTACACCAGACTGCAGCGTAGACAGGCCCTTCCCCTTTCAGGTGCCTTCTCCTTTCACAAGTCACTGGCGCTAGTCATGAGAGTGACACTGACTTGGAGAGCTGATGAGCCTTGATGCTTGACAGATGGTGCTGTAGTCAACATGCTTGTCCTTTAACAAGTGGGGGACTTCTCTAGTTGCAGACAGGGAACTGCTGTGACCAGCCCATCATTACACACAAGGTGGAAAAACCCATGCCTCTTCCCCTTACAGCCACTTCTTCAAGTCCTTCTTCCTAAACCCCCCCCCCGCCCTTTGAGACAAAGGCTTTGGGTTCCAGCTGAGCCCCAGAGGAGTGATGTAGCCAGCCAGCCTGGGAATCCCTGACCAGACTCTGAACTCCCTCACACGAATAGCTCCAGCCGATGAGACAAGCCAGGAGATGCACCAGAGCCCAGCCCTGCGTAAGGAAAACACTCCCCCTGCCCACTTTGTGTCTGCCTGGCAGGCAACCAACCAGCAAGGGAAGAGGCTGGGCTCAGCTGGTGGTGCCTCATTCAGCACCCCGGGCTACCACTGCACCAGCTGCTCCCATAATTCACTAGCTGAGTTACGGGGCTGTGAATGGCACAAAGAGCAGCGCGCGCTGCCCCAGACAGAGCATGAACCGCAGCTGAGCAGGAGGGAGGCAGAGAGAGTCTCTCTCAGGCAGAGACAAGGGCGGGAAGGGAAAGTTGAACACACCCGGTGACATGACTCTTGCCTACCTTACCTCGGCCCCTGCCATGAGCCCAGGTTTATCTCCTAAGCCTCTTGAGACTCCAGGAAGGGGGAACATACTGGCCCCCAACTTGACCCTTCCCCAGCTTCGTATTATCCCTCCCCTGTAAACAATGCCCAGCGCTGCCCCCTGCCGTGGCTTCTGCCGGCAGCATTGTGCTCCACATGCAAATCCGGCTCCCCCGTCCCCTGGAAGCGGTGCCCAGCCGCCCGGGGACAGCTGAGACACTGCTTTAGAGCTGTACAGACAAGCACCAGTGGTTTCCTCACCCTTTATTTTGGAGCACCATCGAACAGCTTGCCGGCAGGGCAGTGCAGTGCACGGGGCCTGTTGGCCAGGGAGCTACAGCCCAGCTGGTCCCCATGTGCTAACCAGCAGTTAGTCAGTGTCACAGCAACACCTGAGCAGGGCTGTAGCCAGCCACTTGGCAGCGGCTCCAGGCCCTGCAGCTGGGCTCTGGAAACGGCTCTAGTTCGGAGGAGAGTGTTCGGTTGACCAGTAGCTGGGAATGTTATTACAATGATTTGATTTTCAAAAGCCGGTCTCCATGTGTGGAAAACGTGATCCAAGGTGGAGGCTGTCTCTCCGTCGCAGCGTCGCTGGTTTCTGCAGGGCTGGTTTGGGCCGGTCAGATTCGCCACGCAGTGGGAATTTTTTTTTTTTTTTTTAAAAAAGAGTCTTTTCCCAAAAATTGGATGTAAAATCGTTTAAACCATTGTGTGGCAATGCCGGCAAACAGGCAGGGCTTCCTGCTGCGGCTCCCCTTCCCCACAGTGGCCAGAGAGGGGACGGGGAGAGACGGTGCAAACAAACCCCTCACACGGCCAAGCAGAGCAGTTTCCGTCTCGAGCTGCCCTTGTGCTTCCAAGAGTTACACAATCGCAGTGGCTCAGGTTAGCGAGCGGGCCCCAGGGCTGGGCCCAGATCCTACAGGGAGGAGCCTACATAGACCAGACTAGGGCAGAGGTGGGTGCCAGGCTAATGGGTAGGAGACGGGGCTGGGTCCATGTGAGAGGTGGGCGTTGGGATAGTGGGTAGAGTCGGAGCTATGCTCCCAGTTCAGTCCCTGCACCGTTCCCCTCCTCTGCCCCACCCCTGTGCGCTTGGAAAGCCCCCGGCAGCGAGCGAGGTGGCTGAGGGGACCAGACAGAGGGCAAAGGGCAGTTGCTGAGTGAGGGAGGAGATGCCCTGCTGGTGCTGACATGGCAGTAGGATGAACTGCAGGCGATGCCTCAGTGCTCGTGTCTCCACGCTGGCTCCACTTGCTGCTGGATGTGGCTCTCCCCGAGCTGGTTCCCTGCAGAGAAACGCCGGCCGGCTGTGAGAGGGGGACCAGAGCAGCGCCCAGGCAGGCTGGGGGTGGGGAGCAGGGCAGCGTCTGCGTAGGGCACAGGAGGGGGAGAGCAGAGCCCCCCCTCAGCTCCCTCCTTTCTCCGGAAGGAGGTCAGGGCTGGTGGCAGGGGCAGGAGGCTGCGGTCACCCTGAGAGATCCCAAAGAGGTGCGGCAGTGGCATGGACGCTCTCCCGAGGCTGCCCACAAGGGGGCGCTAGTGCCAGTCTAAAGGGGGATTCTGGGAAGTGAACGCCTGGCCAACGCTTGTCTGCTTTGCATAAAGTACACCTGTGCCCCCCAGCCCCCACTGCTCCCCCCACACAGGCTGAGCCTATCAGCGGGACACCAGCAGAGGGCATGACTGAGCTACAAGTCATGCCACTGGGTCTCAAAATGCCCTTGCAGCCAGGCCATATCCCGCCCCCCGCAGAGCTGGGGCGAGGGCTGCCCTGTTGGACCCAGGCTGGGTGCAAGCTTGTGCTGCTCTCACCTGCTGACTGCGTGCTCAAGCGAAGGGAGCTAAGCTCCTCCAGAAGGGCATCCTCTTCCGGGCTCTCTTCAGCGTAGGGGTACCCCGTGTAGCCACCCTTCGCTGTACAGTACCTGAGAAACCTGCAGGTACAACCAAAGGGCCATTAGCCCTAGGCACGGCCCTCCTCCTCAGCGCAGGGAGAGAGCGCGGGGCATGGACCGCCTCGGAGCGGGGCCTGCTGGGCAGCTTGCAACCCTGTGTGAGAAACGCCAATGGCACGATCCAGCCACTCCTGAGAGCACCCTGCCAGAGCCAGCAGGTCCTGCCCAGAGCAAGCCTGGGGCCAGCGCGTGTCAACTCACAGCTGACCTGTCTCTGTGCTGCAGGCAGCGACCACTGCAATTCCGGGCCCAGCTGCATCTTGCATTTCCACAGGCACTGTTGTCCCAAAGTTCTGGGGGGCAGCACTGCAGCGACTGAGCTGTGCTGGGCAACGCTACCCTTTCTGTCCTAACTACAGGGGCAGAAGGGTGACACCTTGGCTGGGATTTCACCAGGCCCCAGCACTCATCCCTCGCTTACAGAAAGTGCCCTGGGCTCTTTAACGACCACAAGTGGCAAGGGCTTGGAACAGGGTTTAAACGTCTCATTCAAAAGATGGTACCACCCCCACCCCCACCCAGCATGCTGCTGGGTCACTGGCTCCGTCCTGATCCCAAGAGAAGTGTGTCGCCCCCTCCAGATCTACCAACCTTCCCAGCCCAGTGCAAGCCCTACTCTCTGCTAGTGAACTCAGAGCGGCTCCCACCGCCAGGGGGCCTGGTTGCAGGCTGGCGTCCGAGCAGCCACCTAAAGGCCCCTGGCATGGTACGGCAGATGCTGTGCTAACCCCTGCGAACGGGGTGCTGCGTTGCAGGCCAGAGGAGGGGTCCACTTGCTTTGCGGGACGGGGGAGCCCACTGGGCCCTGGGAAGAGGCAGAGGACAGGGAAGGAGGAGGTTGCAGGATGCAACTTACGTGTTCCAGTGAGGATCCTTGCTGAGCACAGTCGGGTTGCCCACGATTATTAACAGAGCCTTGGCTCTGGTGATGGCCACATTGAACCTCTAAACAGAGAGAGCAGGATGAGGCCGCTTGCCCTGCAGGAAACAGCTCCCTCGCCCCCCCAGGATGGCAGGAGAGCCAGCCCAGACTGCCCCACCCCACAGCTCTAGTGCCGGTCCGTAGCCCCAGCACTTTCTGGCTGTCAGTGGGCTAATGGGGAGGGGTGGGGCAGTGTCCGGACTAGGGTCTGTGATTCCCTAGGGTGCAGCTCCATGGCTGGCTGGCTGGCCTCGCGTGGGTTTCACTGTGGCTGACTAGACTAGCTCTGAGCAGGGCTAGCTGATAGTCTGAGCTCCGTCTATCCCACTGGCACTGCACCTGCAGGGAACGTTGTGTCCTGAGAAGGGCCTGGCCCGTGTGCAGCTCTGCTACGTTTGGTCACGGGCTTTGCTTCCCGCTTGGCCAGACAACTGCACACAACCGTGTCAGGGGCAGAAGGGCTCTCCGCACATGCCCAGCCTCCCCGCCTCCTGCCCAGACAGGAAGGGGTTAAAGGGTGTTCCTTTCCACAGACCTCCCCTGCCCCCACAGGAAGTGGTGTGGGGAAGGGCTCTGCTGGGATCAGCCCTCCTCACCGCTGATGAGGCTCAGGTGCGAGGGAGGGTTTGGAGCGAGTGGTTCTGACGAGCCGCACGGCTTGCCCTGTCCTGGGCCAGAGCGCGCTGCCCGGGCCAGGCACAGTCTGCTTCAGCTGGTGCAAGTGCTCCAGGCTCTGCCGGACGTTTGGCCCCTTGGCCAAGCAGCTGCAGCTGCCCCAAGGTGAGCAGAGAGCCTGGTGGGCTGGGAGGATTCCTGGCTCCCCGGCGGAGTGAGCTGGTTTGTCTGTGCGGGAGGCCAGGCCTGCGGGACTGACCTGGGTGCTAGGCAGCCTGGCCCTGTGGGAGCCGGCTCTGCCCCGGGCTTTGGATGCAGGGGGGGGGGGAATGCCGGAGCGCCCCCGACCGCCGCACGGGAGCTGGGGAACGGGCCCTACTGCGAGCGCAGCCTCACTTGCCCTCCTGTCCTGGGGCTAGTGGCCTGTGGCCCCTGGAGCAAGGGCAGGCGTGTCTCCCATGTGCTGTCCCCAGGGCAGGCTCTGCGCGCTGGGGGAAGGGCTGTGTGACTGGGGCCTTGGAGGGCTTTGAGGTTATGGGGCTTGGATTTGCTACCTGAGGTCATGCAGCCGGTCACTAGCAGAGCCTGAAATGGGACCCAGAGTCCTGGCCCTGCTCTGCCCACTAGCCCACGCTTCCTGTCCACGGCTGCAAAGCAGCTCGGAGCTTATTTTCTACCATGTCTCAGCCGTGGCCTGTGAAACCAGGGGGAGCGGTGGGGGGCGGGCAGTGAGGGAGATGGACTGGGGATGGCTGGCAGCTCTGCATCCCGGCTGAGAGCCCGCGACTTCCCTCAGAGCTCCACAGTCTCCTTGGGGCCAGAGAGGCATCGGGGGCGGGCGCCTACCTTGGGGTTCTTGAGGAAGCCCAGTTTGAAATCTTCGTCCATGCTGAGGTACTCGGTGCAGCTGCGCACGGTGGAGATGAGGAGCACACGCCGCTCCTGGCCCTGGAACTCCTCCACGGAGCCCACCTAGCAGGGAGCAGAGGGCAGGGATCGCCATCCCCCGTCGGCAGCCTCCCTCGCACACCCCCGCCTCCCCCAGAGCCGGTCGCACACCCAGCTGTGCAGGGACCCTGCGGGGCAGAGCGTCCCCCCAACCTCCTCCCCTGCTTTTGCGAATCTGGCCGATGCGGGAGCTGGATGGAGCCTGTCTCGCCCCAGTGCTCTGGCTGCAGGGCTCACAAAGGAGATGCAGGGCCCCTCTTCTCCCCAGGGGATGCAGGCCACAGGTGCCCTCTCCGCATGGCCGGAGCACTCTGCCCTGCAAGCCCAAGGGATGGAGGGCCCCAGGCTGGCCTGGTGTCTCCTGGCGGAGAACTGCCCCCCGGCCCAGCGCCAAGCGAGTCCCACCGCTGAGCTGGGACAGTCTGCCCTCAGGCTGGGTGTGGCTGTTGGCGTAGCTGCCGGGCCGTAGCCATTACTCCAGGTGTGGCCAGAGGGATGGGGGTGGGGGGGTGGGAGGGACTTACCTTCAGCTCCTTGATGTCTGGGAGCTTCATCAGGTCTCCATCCTTTTTGGTGATGGCTTGTCTGATCTTCTCTACCTGGGGAGGGACGAGGGAGGAGTGGATGTGACTCCCGCTGCCCTCAGGAGCTCCTGGCTCCCAGCCCCGTGCTCGTTCCTCTCACAGCCTGTAGGCCCTTGTGATGGCCACCGTGTCCCGCCCTAACCCTCCTGTTCGGTCTCCGCCATCTCACTGAGCTAATGCCCTCGACCCCTCAGCCAAGTCCCAGGCAGGCTTCTGCTCTGCGTCGTTCCCATGCGACTGACCAGAGAATACCGCTGGGGTTCCCCGGCCCCATCCGGCAGGTCCCTCCGTCTGGGGCAATTCCCCAGGGCTCCTGGCCCCTGCCCCAAGGGGGTTCCCCCACATGGGGCACTGCGCACTCTGTCCAGATACTCAGCAGAGTGGGGCTTGATGGGGTGCAGCAGGGAGACGGCGTGTGGGGCTCAGGAGCCTGGGATGGGGGAGCTCAGGGTTGGACTGCCGGCCTCTCTGCAGGGCTCGTGGTGCGTGGGGAAGGCAGCCCTGGGGGCCGGGCTGCATCTCACCTGCTTCCTGTAGGGGGAGATGATACCGATCTCCTTGGGGGAGATCCTGGAGCGGCCCCGCTTGCCCTGACTCTGCAGCAGTTTCTTGAGGTAGGTGACCAGGGCTTCGACCTCCAACGTGTTGAAGAACGAGGGGCTGTTACCCTCTCGCTGGTCCTCCCCGGACACTCCGTGGAAGATGATCGGGAAGCCCTGGAGGGAGAGCGCCACGGTCAGGGCTGCAGCTAGCCCCATGGCGCTGCCCCGCCCGGGATGGGGGCTAGGCTGGGTGCCTGCTCCCCGCCCCGCCCTCACCTGCGTAGGCAGCTCCTCCCAGGTGCAGTAGGAATAGCTGATGAGGCGGTCAGCACACTCCTGTAGCTCCCCGTCGTAGAACTCCTGGTTGGGGATCTCAAGGAGGGCGGCGTGGGACCTGGGGAAGGAGCAGCGACAGCATTTCCAGGGGTGCTCGGCTGCTCCTCAGACTCACCCGCGCTGCAGCAGCCTTGCTTCCCTGAGGCCCCCTCCCACCTCACCAGCAACAGGAGGGGCCCCAGCGACCTCTGCCCTGGGCACAGAGCGGCCATGGCCAGGCTTCCGGACAGGGAGGGCAGAACCCAGGAATCCGGGTTGTTCCGTCCAACGCCTCTTGCCCTGGGGTGACTATTAAATGAGCCACACGCCAGGCAGGTGGGTATCAGACAGATGGACAGACACGAGCATCCCAGGCTGAGCCAGCAGAACGGGGGCTGGAAGCCTTTGCCGCCGGCAGCCCCCACGGCTCCCGCACGCCGCAGCATCAGTCCCGGCAGGGCGGATATGGCACCTGTAGTTCCGCAGTAACTTGGTGACGAACTGCGGGTCGTAGCTCTCGGCTCCCTTTTGGTACAGGGAGTTGTGCTTCATGAGCCTCTCCAGCAGCGAGACCTCTGCAAGAGAGAGTGATGCCCTGGTTACCGGCGACCCCCCGTGGCCTGGGACCGTGCCCCCTACGAGCAGCCCCACAGGGTCCAGCCTGTCACAGCCTGGCCTGGGCCTCTCTGAGCAGGGGGCAGGAGCTTCAGTGACTCTCCTGGGGGAGACTTTCACCCGCTTATCAGGGAGCGGGCCTCTCCCTGCTCTCCAGAGGTGCCCAGGGTCACTAACGGGCTATTGCAGTGGCTGTGCAAAGCCAGGTGGCCCCAGAGCCCAGACGAGGGGGGCAGAGAGCTGGGGGCAAATCAGCGTGTCTGAGAACTCCCCACTCTCCACCCGGTGCCTTCGCCCTCTGTTCCACTCACCTAACCCATGTTCGATGGCCAGTGGGGACCTCAGGATCGGACCCAGCTGCTTGGGATCGCCCGCCAACACCAGCTGCCCCCCATTGGTGTTGGTCTCCCGGTCCATCGTTGTCAGAATTCCTGGGGCAGAGAGACGGCTGAGGTGGCTGGGCAGGGTAGGAGATCCATGCCCAGGCAGGTCACTGACTGATCCCTGCACAGCGAGGAGCCGCCGAAGGGCCCCATCACGGCTGTATCTGCTCCGAGCAGCATGGGGGGGCTCCTCCCGAGCTTACAGCGCAGAGAAGGGGCTGCATCCAGGGCCCGGAATCCGCCGCCAGGAGCAGGCGCTGGCCACCTGTCTGAGCAGGAGTGAGACAGCCGGGTCCGAGGCCCCGGGCATGTGGGGTAGGGTGGATGAGGCGATGCCTGGGGGTGCGGTGCTCCCATCCCCAGACTCCTACTCACCTGCGATGGCAACCAGGCACTCCGGCTCCACCGCGTGGCCGCACTCGTCGATGAAGACGTGGGAGAAATGGCCGTCAGGGAACTGGGCCGTTACCAGCCTGCGGGGGACAGGGAGAGGCAGTGAACAAGCCTGTACAATGCTGGCTCCCTGCCCTGCCACCTGCATAGCCAGACTGCTCCACAGAGGCCTCCTGCAGGACCTGCCCATGCCGCTGGCCCCCTCCTGAGCACGGCGATGCCCCCCTCCCCTCCCTGAGCAGGGGCTTCCATGGCCATGCCCAGGGCTGGGCAGGGAGAGAACTCCTCCCCCGGAGTCTGAGGGGCTGACCCTCCCCTTTTACAAATGGAGACACCACCAGAAAGTGTCCAATACATCCAACCTGATGATGTGCCCCCCTCCTGTGCCCTCCGGTCAGCCCCCGCCCACATTTCTCTGTTACGTCCCTTCCCCTGGTAAACCCTGCCCAAAGAATTCCCTTCTCTTCCCCCAGCACAGCCACGTGCCCCCCAATCACATCCCTACTGTGCTCCCCCAGCACACTCGCATTCATCAGAAGTGATTCGGGCCCCCCAGCCCCACCCTGGTGCGGTTTGCCCCGGGCCCCTCCTACCGTCCTGCTGTCACCAGGGTGGTGATGATGACCCGGTAGTGCTGCAGCTTCTCCTTGCTTGGGTACACGTGGCACTGCTGGGCATCGTCCCAGTTACAGCAGGGCTACGAACACCAAGAGCATTTAGACAAGGTCTGGGATCGGAGCTGTGTTTCCCTTGGGGAAGTTGGGGGCAGACGCCTCTCCCTCCATGAAGCCCTGAGACAACTGGCAATGGCATGTGCGTCTTGGCGGGTGACCTGAAGGTCCTGCAGGGAGGGCAGGGACGCCTATCGACCGTGCAGCCTGGGGAGGTGACTACAGCTGCTGGAACATGGAAGTCCCTTCCCATAAGGAAATGAGAGTTTTGAAAAAAACGTTTGGCATTTTTCAGCTTGAGAGGTCTGCCTGGGAAGCTGTCGTCAATTTCACTCTGTGCCTGTCTGCAGAAAGTGAAACTGACAGGAGTCTTCCAGGCAGGCTGTCCTATTTTTCCCAATGGAAAACTGATTTCCACCCCCAATTTCAATTTTCCCATGGAAAATTTGAAGTGTGCTAAAGGGCATCTACCCTCATAAAATCCTTCAGACAGGAAATTCCTGCCCAGCTCTACGGGCGATGTCTCTTTGGGTGCCTCTTGGGGTGCCAGGGGTGCACACGTACCTTGATCTCCTCCGGCACCTGGCGATAGTCCCTGCTGCTGGCGTTGATCCTATAGATGCTGCCCTTGTCCAGGTGTTTCAGCAGGCGCTGGCAGAGCAGGTCCGAGGCGCTGTTGGAGGGTGCACAGGCCAAGACATGGGAGTCCTTGATGCACGTGACCACCTGAGCGGGAGAAGAAGAGCATAGCAGCCCAGGCAGGAGGAAATGGAGGAGGAGGGGAGAGAGGGGCTGTGGGCCAGCTGCCTAGACCCGGGTGCCAGTGCTTGGCCCCTCTGGCAATTGGACCAGGTGATTGCTCTGGACTGGGATGCCAGGAGACACCCTCACCTGTTTGATGGCCTCCACCATGGTGACGGTCTTGCCGGTCCCTGGCGGCCCGAAGATGATGTATGGTGCCGGCCTGGACATCCCTGTCACGATCTGCTGCACAGCATCGTACTGCTCCTGGTTGGTCTCCAGGTTCCGGTCAAACAGCCTGAGGGGAAATGGAGCCGGGCAGGTGCTGAGGGGAAGGCCAGGCCCTGCTGCGTGTGACCACCCCGCTCCCCACACAGCCAGCCCCCCGAGTGCCTCTCCTCTGAAGCCAGGCACTCACTTGAGCCGGCCTCCCTCGTGGAGGAGAGACTCTCTGTATGAGAAGGACGGGAAGAGGACATCGCCCAGGTTCCTCTTCTTGGCTAGCTCCACGGCCCGGTGCTGCACCCGCAGCGGCAGCCGGTTGAAGGTAAAGATCACATCGAACTTCAGGTTATTCACGAAGCTCGCCAGCAGGCTGAAAAAGGGCGAACAGGGTTGGACAGAGCGCTGGGCACCCCTCCCCAGGCACCATCCTGCCCAGGCCCACTCTTCCCCTTACTCTGCATGGTTCCCACCCCCAGCCCTGCTCAGCCTGGCGATCCTGCGCCCCACAGCACAGCACCTCCCCCTCTGCTGCACTCCCCCAGGTAGTCACCCGTCAGCGCTAACAGCAGCAGCTGCTTGGCTTGCATCAGGCAGCTGTCTTAGACCTGGCCTCCGCCCCTCCAGGCTTGTTCCTCGCAGACCCCTCGGTGCCACCAGTCAGGGCCCAGCTTCCCCTCCCCCCACCCCGGACACTGGCCCGAGCCCCCCAGGGACCCGGGCGCGACGCACTTGGGGGAGAAGCCCAACTTGACCCTCTCCAGCTCCACGGCGTGCACGTAGCCCTTGTACTGGACGAGCTGGGGCAAGGTGCGCTGCTCGCTCCGGGTGACAAACAGGTGATCGCCCCTCAGCACGGACGGGCGGTTCTCTGCCACGCCGGGGACCTAGGGACAGAGCAGAGAAGGGGCAGTTCAGCGGGGAGCGTGGTTGGCTGTGCTCCCCTGGCAGCCAACTGTTCTGCGGGCCCCACACTCCCTGCTGGCAGCCCAGACATGAGAGGAGGGGGCGCGCTGAAGGGACAGGCACGGCCATCAGGCCTTGGCTCTCACCTCCAGGATGAGCAGCCTCTTGTTCTGAGTGTCCTTCACCATCGGGACGTCCTGCATATCATAGCGCCGGATGTCCACCTCCATCTGGAGCTCCTCCAGGTGCAGCAGCAGCTGGAACTTCTCCTGGTAGTTCTCAAACTGAAGCTCGGCCGCCAGGGACTTCCTGCAGGGCCAGTGCCAGCCAGAGGTTATCCTGACCTTGCCGGGCACAGCGGGGCTGGGCTAGCCGGCACAAGAGACGAGGCAGCAAGCTCCAGGCGCCCTGCGGCGTGTCTGGGCCTCAGAGGCAAGGGGCCGGGCGAGCAGTGGCCAGTAAAGGCTGTCGTGTGTCCCTGAGACTTAGTGTCTAGGAGGAGAAACCCCTGCCAGGCCCCAGGAACCCTGAGGCCCTGCTTTCCGGGCAGCTCAGCTAAGGGCTGGTGGGGGCTTCTGGCTAAGGGGGGCTGGGCCCCATGGCTGCGCGGGAGAAGGTGCCCTTCCTTGGGAGGTCAATGAGGCCACCAGTGCAGTGAACCTCCTCCACCCCACCCCCCGAGCACTCACCGCAGCCTGCTGCGTTCGGCGTTGACCATGTCCTGCAGGTCCTTCGGGTAGTTGTAGAAGCCCAGCGGGATCAGCTGCTTAAGCTCGGGGTGCTGGGAGCTAGGCAGACGAGATGCAGGGTTACTGCAAGGCTCTGCGGGAGTGAGCTCCTCGCCCTGCCCAGCCAGTGGGACAGACTCCAGCATGGGGGCTCAGGCAGGGGGACACTGGGTCTCAGGACCCAGGCGGCTGGGTCTCCACCCCCAGAAGATGGAGAGGTGGCTGGGTCACCTCCCCGGGGTGGAACTACCAGGAATTAAAGGACTCGTTCATCTAGCACAGAAAGGCAGAACAAGAACCGATGGCTGGAAGCTGATGCCAAGCAAATTCCAACTGGAAACAAGGCACCAGTGGGTAACACAGCCAGTGATCAGCCACTGGACGTGGTGAATTCTCCAGCTCTTGACTGGAAGATGCTTTAACCAAACACAAGTTACTGGGCTCAGCCTGGGGGTCCTGGGGCAGAGGCAAGCCTGTGCTATCCAGGGGCTCAGACTAGATGAGCCAACGGTCCCTTTGGCTCTATAAAAGCCCAGTAGGTACTTTCGCCCTGGCTAGGGAATGGGGTTGGATCCCAGCTGCACAAAGAATCATAGAAGGGACCTTGAGAGGTCATCTAGTCCAGTCCCCTGCACTCAAGACAGGACTAGGTATTATCTAGACCTTCCCTGACAGGTCTTTGTCTAACCTGATCTTAAAAATCTCTGGTGACGGTGATTCCACAACCTCCCTAGGCAATTTATTCCAGTGCTTAACCACCCTGACAGTTAGGAAGTTTTTCCTAATGTTCAACCAAAACCGCCCTTGCTGCAATTTAAGCCCATTGCTTCTTGTCCTATCCTCAGAGGTTAAGAAAAACAATTTTTCTCCCTCCTCCTTGTAACAACCATTTATGTACTTGAAAACTGTTATCATGTCCCCTCTCAATCGTCTCTTCTCCAGACTAAACAAACCCAATTTTTTCAATCTTCCCTCACAGATCCTGTTTTCTAAACCTTTAATCATTTTTGTTGCTTTTCTCTGGACTTTTTTCCAATTTGTCCACATCTTTCCTGAAATGTGGCACCCAGAACTGGACACAATACTCCAGTTGAGGCCTAATCTGCGTGGAGTAGAGCAGAATAATTACTTCTCCTGTCTTGCTTACAACACTCCTGGCTAATACATCCCAGAAAGATCTTCACTTTTTTTGCAACAGTCTTACACTGTTGCCTCATATTTAGCTTGTGATCCACTATGACCCCCAGATCCCTTTTCGCAGTACTCCTTCCTAGGCAGTCATTTCCCATTTTGTATGTGTGCAACTGATTGTTCCTTCCTAAGTGGAGTACTTTGCATTTGTCCTTATTGAATTTCATCCTATTTACTTCAGACCAATTCTCCAGTTTGTCCAGATAATTTTGAATTTTAATCCTATCCTCCAAAGCACTTGCAACCCCTCCCAGCTTAGTATCATCCACAATCTTTATAAGTGTACTCTCTATGCCGTTATCTAAATCATTGATGAAGATATTGAACAGAACCGGACCCAGAACCGATCCCTGCGGTACCTCACTCATTATGCCCTTCCAGCATGACTGTGAACCACTGATAACTACTCTCTGGGAATGGTTTTCCAACCAGTTTTGCACCCGTATCCGTCCCTTCAGCCAATGGTGCTGAGCACAAGCTGCCCGGCCCAACTCTCCCCCTGTGTACCTGTCGGGAGGGACGCCATCCTCTGTGATGAATGTGACCGTCTTCCTCAGGTTGGCCTGGTAAGGCCTGTATGGTGCAGTGGGCCCCAGCTCCTCAGCCAGCCGGCTGTTGGCTACGGCTGACACGAACCGCCCGATGCTGAAGGGCCCGTCCTGCTCCTTGGTGAACTCGAACAGCACAGTGACAGGATAGTAACCATAGTGCTGAGTCAGGCACCGCGCCTCGATCGAGTAAGAGTCTCCTGCAGTCAAAGGGGATGTGTGAACAGGGAGCTCCCCCTTCCGGGGTCCCCACGTGCTTCCCCGCCCTCCCAGGGGGCCCTGGGCATTTCACCCCATGGCAACGTTCTGCCAAGTCTCTGGCACTAACTCAGACGCCTGTCCATGAGTGTCTGTGTATGTGGGGCTGGAATGGGAGAATAGCTGCCGTGTTCGCTGGCAGGGCAGAATGTGAGCAGGGCCTGCAGTTGCTCCTTCCGCACCCCTACGCTCCACCCTCGCCCACATACCCAGATGGCTTGGCAACTACACCTGCCGTGCTTGCTTCCCCAAAGCTGCGTGCACCAGATGGGGGAGCCAGGACGGTGCAGAGAAAGGGGTACAGAGGGCGGACCACACACTGCCCACTATTGTGATGCAGCCACCTCTGGGCTTGAATGCGGCAGCTGTTTCCCAGTCACACAGCTTTGCTGAAGGTCAGTGTGGGACCAGATGTGAAGGAGAACCCTGCTCCTGGGGAAAGCTGGACCCTCTTACCTGGCTGCAACACCCGGGGCTGCTGTCTGGTCACCTTGCTCTCATCGTGGAAGGTGAACTCGCGCTGCTTCCGAAGCGCCCTGTACCCTAGCAGCGTCACTTCCTCTGCGCCGTTGTTCTGAACCCAAATGCTGACTGTTGCGGGCTCGTTGGGCGTGACGGGGAAGCGGATGCGCCCGTTCCCCCGGTCGTGCTCAGAGAGAATCTCCACCCCGTGTTTCCCACCGATGAACTCCGCTCTGAGGGCAGAGGGTGCGGGTTGGATGTGCGCGTACAGTCCCAGCTGGTCTGTGTCTCTGCAGGCCGGGGCTGCCCTAGGAGCCACTTCCCCCTTGTTACAACAGAGAATCTGGGCAGGAGTCCCTTGGGGTCTCGACCCTGCCGGGGCTCTGGGGCTGGGCCAATGCCCTCGATGCAAAGACTCCTGTCCATTTTCAGAGGCATTTGGCTCAGGCCCGCAGAGCGGGCCGAGCGCTGGTGGAGCAGGCACTCCTGCTTCCTTCCCGCCCACCCAGCTGCCCCGTCCCACTGGGAGGGGAGCCCAGGAATAGCCTGTGAGCTGCCAATGTTCTGGGCGACCCCGGTCCGGGAGCTCGTTATCCCCTATTACAGCGAGGGGGGCTCCAAGCTGCACTCCGCTGGGCTTTGGTACCTCTCCTTGGCGCGTCCTCTGCGGGGAGGCTGATCGGTGCCCGCCTGCTGGTTGTCCGTGGGGGGCTCCTCTGGCCTGGGTGTCCAGTACTGATCTCTAAACTTCACTTTCTTTTTCACCTGGGGAAGGAGAGCGATTGTCCGGGTGGGTGGGAGCAGGCAGGGGAGCGGGGGCTTCCAGCCCCTGAGAAGCTGGGGCAGGGAGCAGAGGGGACTCACAAAGCCCCTGGCCTCAGTTGGGCCAGCCCCACTGGAGCAGCTGATGGCGGCGGGCTTGGCGGCTCGCACCCCCGTATTCACCTTGGCCCGGCTCAGGGTGGGACGAAGTAGGGGACCATGGGCTGAACCAGAATAGAGTGCGTCTGGGACCCCCCTTTCCAGCAGTGAGAGCTGTAGATGCATCGGCCTGCCCAGGGACAGGGAGCACCACTGCTTGAGCCACTTCAAGCCAGCCCAGCCCTGGAGCCTGGCCTGCAGGGAACAATCCTGCCCGTAGCGAGGGAGACAGGAGCCCCAGGGCTCCCCGAGGGCACAGGGATGTTGGGAACAGACCTGGGCAGCCAGGCCCTCGTCTGCCCGGGGAGCCGAGAGGCAGCTGGGGGCCGCGTGGGCAGCACCTACCTTCCCGAAGCGCACAAAGTCTCCCCGCACCTCGGCCCGGCCGCTCTGGCCCAGTGTGAACAGGATGGAGGAGAAGTTGGGCGTCTTTGTATCATTCCTGCAGAAACGACAGAGCGGGAGAGTCTGTGACTGCGGGATGCCCAGAGCCTGGGCGCAGGGCCCGGGGCGCGTCTCCAGGGAGTGACTGAGCTGACAGGACGCAGCGGGGAAAGGAGCAGGGGCAGGGCGATGCCAGTGTTTGGGGCGAGGGGCATTCCCCCTGCTCCTGTGTTAGGAGAGCGATGGGCTAGGGAGAGCCCTGGCTCTGTACCACTGCCACCCGGGAAGCAGCAGGGCAGTGCTCTGCTCTGGGGAGAGGGGCCCCGGCTACAGCGAGTGGGGGGGTCTCTTCATCGTCTCCAACCAAATCCTGTGCCACCACCTGCCACATGGGCAACTCATGAGGAGCCCCAAGGCATTGCTCGAATGCAGCATGGGCACCCCGAGCTCTGGCATTCCCTTGCGCTGGCATCTTCCCTGGGGGGCGACTGTCCCAGCAACTGCAACCCAGGCTGGGCTCACAATGCCGGGAGTTAGTAGCAGCTGCAAATCCAGCCGCACGGCCTCCCCAGCGCAGGTCTAGCCTGGGAGCAGGCCCTGCTCATGCAGCGATGGGCTGGCCAGTGAAGCCAGCTGCACACAAGGAACTCCAGTGGGAAACAAGCCCAGGGCCTGGGGGTCAAGGCTGGTGCTGCGGGACTGCGGTAGCCTCAATGTGCTGTGGCCGGGTGAGCCTGGCAGCACTTGGGGCAGACTGTGCCTTAGCCTGGCTAGAGGTTCGAGCAAAGCCTGGGGGGGGTCTCTCCCCAGCAATGACACCGATTCACTCTGTGACCCTGGGCAAAGGGCATAATCCCTGCCCGGGGGATGGGGTCAGGCTGGACCAGTCAACGTGCACTAGGTGCATTTGCACGGGGGGAATCTCAGGGGGTCCCCGACCAGTGGGCGGGACACGTGTACACATGCGCGTGTGCACACACTTTCCAGCCAGGATGGCGGCGGGGGTCGCAGGGGTAGGGCCCTGCTGCCCACACGTTGTGGAGAGAACCAGTGGGCTGGAGCAGGGAGCTGGGCCAGCTCCGTTGGACAGGATCCCCTGTGGGGTGAACTCAGTCTCAACAGACCGACCCCTCCCCCCACCCAACCCCCAGGGGCAGGACCCCACTCTGGGGACAGGGAAGGTGGGGGCCCCCAATTGCCATAGTGCGCAGGCCGGGGTGAGGGACCATGAGCCTGCTGGCCTGGCAGCTTTGCTCAGTGTTTGCAAAGTCGGGTCTGAAGGGCTGGAGCAAAGGCTGCCGGCCGGTACATGAGGGCCACGGAGGCGCCCTGCTGCCCTGGGCGTGCCGGGGATGGTGCCTGAGCAGAGCTCCCCGGCAGCAGGCCCAACTCTTACCTGGAGGGAGCAGGGGAGTGTTTGCCGGGGACAGCAACCACACTTCAACCTGCTCCTGCCTGAGCACCCTGGGGCCTGCCTCCGTCTGGCCTTGGTGTGCACCAGACTCTGCTGCCCTGCCGCAGACGCCCCTCTGCCCTGGACAGCGCAGGGCTGTCGCTGCACAACAGCCATGAGCTCTCCTGAGCCTGCTGCCCGCCCACGGCACAAGAGGCCTGTGCCCTGACGCCGGAGGCATCCCTTTGTCACCGCAAATGCTAGTGCTAGTCCCACTGGACAGGCCCACGCTCACCCCAAAGCCCTGGGGGCTGGGAGGTGTTTGTGTGTCCGCCCCACCCCGTCCCGTTCCAAGGCCCATCTCTACGGCTGCGATGGGTCGAAACCGGCGCTGAATCCGAATGGAGCCGGGCCCCCAGCACTGCGTGTCTCAGCCGGCTGGCAGGGGAGGAGGCAGAGGAGAGCTGGCAGGGGCTCCTTTCGTTCCCAGCCAAGGCCCAAGGACAAGGCCGTCCCACAGCACTTAGCCCCAGGACCTGGAGTCCTAGATCCAAGGCCAGATGGGCCTGGGGTGAGCATCTGTTCTGGCACCTGTAGAACACCGGCCAAGGAACAGCTCTGAGTTGATTCCTGCTGGAATAGAGCCCATCTCTCAGGAAAACATCCTCTCCCGGCTCCCCAAGTGCTCGGGATGGGGAAGTCAGGGTGGTATTTCATTTGCGGGTATGTATTTTTAGCTGCCTTCTGACCGTTTGGCAGACTGGCCCCTGCCAGTGATTAACTGGGGCTGTCACGTGCCCAGGGCCAGACTTAGTCGTGCTGGCAGGGGAACACTCCAAAGCAGGGGGCCCCTCTTGGCCAGCCCTGCGAAAGGGGACGCTGGCGGGTCAGCTGTGCAGCCATGGGCCAGAGCCTCACCTGTGTCAATGGCTGGAGCTGCGCCGAAGCCAGCGGCACTGGGATGATCTACCCCAGGTGAGGATATGGCCCAGTATCTCACCCCAGGACGCAGGGAGCCGTTCAGCCATGGGCCTGCGCAGAAACCCAGCCTAGAAGCCCTGCTTCCCAGGCCAACGCCGCTTCCTGCCACCCAGCCAGGATGGAGGCGCTGACCTCTCCGGCCTGACTTAGCGAGTGATTTGGGTCGGGGTCTGTGCCAGCGCCCCGGCTGCACCCCATCAGCCAGGGGAGAGGCGGGGTGCCCTGGATTTGATCTTAACAGAATGGCAAGCCCCAGCAGGGTGGGGAAGGAATCCACTCAACATCTAGGTGAGTTTCCTTCCTGGTCTGGGGTGACAGACTCTCCTCTCCCTGCTTGGGAGTTTGATGGCTTCCTGACAGCCACAGCCCTGAAGTTAAACTTCCTCCCCCAGCCCTGCCGCCCCATCCCACCCTGGCCATGCTCCATACAGGGGGGCTTGCAGCTGTCCCCAGCCCCTGCGCGCAGGGTGCCAAACAGAAATCGGGGCTTGCAGCTCCTCCCAGACTCAGGTAATGTGGCCGAGGAAAGGTGCTCTCCTTAGCAACAGGCCTGGGCAATGGGGCACTCTTGGGGCGAGGGATCAGCCATCCGCACCCCGCTCCCTCCCTGCAGGGCTGCCTGTTACCTGGTCCTGAACTCCACATTGTAGATGGTCCTCAGTGCCTCACGGCTGCTCACAGCTTCTCTGCCTGTGTCTTTTAGGAACTGCACAAACTGATCCCCAAACTCCCTCCTCTCCCGAAAGTTGAACTTGGGCATCTCCTCTGGCTCCGCTGCTCGCTCCCAGACCTTCTCCTGTCCTGTCCTGTCCTGTGGGGCGGCCTAGCTCAGCAGCTCCTGCCCAGTGCCTCTGCTTGTGAAATCTGCCAACAAAGGGCTTATCAGAGAGGGAGGATGATAGCAAACTCTCAGCAGGCAGAAACGAAAGTGAAAGAGGCTGTGTGCATCCTGGAGCCAGGCTCCTGCCTGGGCTGGGGGTGGGAACAGCCCTGGGCCGGCACCCGGCCTTCTCCCCCAGGTCCTGGGAGCCAGTCCCTCTAGCAGTAGCTGCAAAGGGCGGGGGAGAGCTCAGGAGCCTCCTCTTCAAGGCAGAGTGAATGAGACTCTGAGAAAGTCCCAGGGCGAGAGCAAGGGCTTGGCAGGGCTCAGCCCAGGCTGGGGCAACGTTCTCTGCAGGGACTCACACGGCCCCAGTGCCTGAGTCACCCCTCTGTTCTCCGGCTGTCCTGGGGCACAGGGTTGCGTGCAGGCCCGTGGCTTGTTTGGTATCCATGTTATACAGTTTACTCTGTTTATTTTGGAAAGGGCAGGTCAAAGCAATGGGCCTGCCCTTGGAGCAGCGGGTGAGGAGTTTGGGATGGGCCTTGGTTCCTGGGGGGGTTCATGCCACAGTCTCTGGCAGCCCCCCCCCCAGGAAGTGTCTGCCCCCACCTCCCTGATGAGCGTTTCCCTTGCTGTTGAGGGCTCTGCTGTGCCAGAGGGGTGAATTTTCAACCAGGGCCTTCGTCCCAGAGCTTTAGGCTCTTTTAGCTACGCAGGGCCCAGGCCGCGGAGCGTCTTGCCGATTAGGACAAAGGTCTGGGCCCTAGACTGGGTATTGTGTGGAGGCCAGTGCAGAGAGCGGAGGGCAGGGCTGATGTGCCCAAGGCAGCTGGTGTTGCTGGGGGGATGGGCAGCAGTGCTCTGTACTAGTGGAGTCTCCTGCCTGCCTGCGAATATTGCACTGTGCAATCCCGCCCAGAGGTGATGTGGGCTCGTTGTGCTGTTTTAAAGCAGGGGGTGGGGGTAATGGGGAAGCTGAGTTCTCCTCCCAGCTCTGCCGCTGGCTGCTCCCTGGGCGACCTTGGCTGGGTTACTTCCCCCTTCTTTGGCTCCGCTCTCCCCCTCGCCTGAGCCACCTCTGCAAAATGCTTGAATGCTGAGGCTGGTTCCCCTGGTGTCTCAGGGAGAAATCTCCTCTCTTTGGTGGCCACAGGATGCCAGGGTATATGGCGGCTAGTCAGTCTGGCACAGTGTATTTCGGATCCCGCAAGCTTTCCTTTTTATAAATTATAGTCTGGAGATACTGCTGTCTGGAGCCATAGTCCCCAAAGGATGTTAGGGGACAGGCTGCTCTGACTCTGCGGAACTAGCGCCGTCTGTCGTGTTAGCGTGAAAGTGCTAAGAATATCTGCCTGGATCTTGCTGGCCATGAGTCAGTCCAAGAATGTTTGTAAATCTATTTCTATAACGGATCAAGTTTAACTAAACCAATGCTTGATCCTGTGCGCCTAAGTGTATCCCGAGCTGTTGTATTCCACTTTCCATCAGTGGCTCTCAAAACCTTTCATGGAGGAGGGCAGTATCATTCTCCCTATTTTACAAATGGGGAAACTGAGGCACAAGGTGGGGAAGTGACTAGCCCCAGGTGTTCCAGCAGGTGAGTGGTAGAGCCAGGATCAGAGCCTGGGCGAGTGACAGCCCCGGTCTCCTGGCTCCTAGGCCAGTCTTCTAGCCATTAGACCCCACTGCCTCCCCAAGGGTCCATTTTGCACCTTTGTAATCACAGGTTCTGACAGACACACTGGGCACTTGATACAGATTTGAAGTTTAAGCAGTTGGGCCTGGATCCTGCAAATACTTATTCAGGTATTGACCTTAGTGCATGTGAGTCATTCCATTCCATTCCTCATGAGCGTGTGCAGGATCAGAGCACAAAGGCTACATGCCACCCTGCTACCCCAGCGATTTCACTGCAATAGCTCTGCCTTGACAGGGCAGAACTTGGCCTGTGTTTGCTGTTCTGGGGCTCTCAGCAGAGTGAGCCCCAACTTTTGAGCCTCCCCCAATTGGTACTGTGCTCATCTTACAGCTCTGCAGTTCTGACTCCCCAGCACAGAATGATCAGTGCCTTTGAAAAATTAAAACCCTCTACCACAGCCTGGTGCACCCTAATCAACAGGCTGGTGATTCAGTCACTGGATAGGAGTAAACTAGCTGATGGTTTCCTCCCTCAGAGAAACGAAAGTTATCCTGCCTCAGGAGAAGGGCGGGGAAAGGGGCAGCAGAGAAGAGGCCAGCCAGCAGATCCCTTCGCTTGCAGGCTGATTTTGTGCCTAGGGAGAGGGCAGGGGCGGCAGGTTTGTAGAAATTTTGGTGATGCCCAGAATGCCCAGAGCCTGCCCCCCCACCTGCCTAAGGCGCTGGGAGGGAGTTTGGGTGTGGGGAGGAGGTCTGGGGTGCAGGCCCTGGGCTGGGGATTGGGGTGCAAGAGGGGTGCAGGCTCTGGGATGGACGTTGGGTGCTGGATTCAGGCTCCAGGCTGGGGCAGGGGGTGAGGGGTGCAGGCTCTGGGATGGAATGGGGGGGTGGTAAGGGGGAGGAGGTGCAGGCTCTAGGAGCGAGTTTGGGGGCAGGAGAGGGTGTTTGGGAAGGGGTGGGGGGATGCAGGCTCTGGGAGGGAGTTTGGGGGCAGGAGGGGGTGCAGCGCTTACCTGGGGCTCCCAAGCAAGGTGGGTCAGGGGTCCCCAGGCACCGCCCCCCCCCCCCCAGGCACCACCCCCACAGCTTCCCATTGGCTGCAGGGGCACTTGGGGTGGGAGCAGCAGGGAGACCCAGACCCCTGCCCCAGGCCGGCAGCCAGGTTGGAGCGAGCAGGCAACAGCTGCTCTGCTCTGGACCGGTGGTGGGTAGGGGCCTCGGGCCATTTTAAATCGCGCAGGGGGGAGACCCGGCCTCAGACAGTGCTGGAGCCAGGCCGGGCCAGGGATATTCCTGCTGCCCAGGCACAGAGAATTCCCCGCCTATGGGAGAGGGGTGTGTAAAGAATGGGCCTTTCTTCAGGGTGAACAGTTATTACCTTGTTAGTTGCTGTTTTCTTCCATGGAGCATTCTGGGAAAGGCAGCCAGGTTAGGGAGGACAGAGGAGAGATTGATCGAGCCCACTGCATACACCAGGGAAGGCTGGCCTTGTGGAGAAGGCATTTTTTCTGGGAGCTAAGGGTCATATGCCCAACTCTGTCAATTGTTCACAGTGTGATCTTGGGCAAGTCCCTTTGCCTTTGTGCCTCAGTTTCCTACTTGTACACCAGGGACATGGTACTTCCCTGCCCCAGAGAGAGTCGGGGATGTGGATAAGGCTCAGATACTACTGGAAGATTGTAAAATATTCAGATTTCTAGGCAAACTATTGTAGGTCCCCATCCATTGGGTGTAATGCCATTTATTCCTTTGCAGGAGTCACTGGAGGAAAAGTCTTTAGGGGAGCACTGTAAACTCCCAGTAAGTGGGAGAGGGCCGGTGGGCTCATGGGTCAGCAAAGGGAGTGATTTAGAGAGGCTCTGTTGCTGAAGGTTTGTTATGACCATGTCTCTCCATAAACTTGCTTGTGTGTAACTGACTCGCTCTTGTAGGTGTGGTTTTGGGTTTAACTCGGGTTATGACTTGATTAGCACTAGCCCTTTCCTCTCCCTCGCTGCCTCTGAGATTTCCCACTGGTGCAGCTCCCCCAGCCGTGGCAATGGTAAGACGGGGTCCAGGTGGTTCCCAGCACTGCCGCTGAAAGCTGTTCTGAGAAATTTTCTCACAACACGAGCCTGCTGGAACAGAACCTTACTGTACAGGAAGCAGGACTAACTTCTGACAGCCCCAGAATGACCCAACCCAGGTTACTGTCATCAAAGTGCACAGCACTGGCATTCATCTACTTGATTAGAAAGGGAATACATGGGTGGGGGGTTATGGGACCATCAGAGCAATGCAAGGAAGGAATGCTGAGTGTTAATGGGTTCACTGAGAACACTTTGAAGTTCAGCACCTTCCACCCAACCATCTCAACTGCTTTGCTAACATTGTGACAACGGAGATACTGGCCTACCATTTATGCAAACATCTTTACCTTTGTCCTCCCAACCCACATATGGTTTACTCAACTGCTGCATATTGTCTCAGTCTAAGGCTTTGCCTATTTTACAAGTGGCACCAGTTTAACTAACAATGGATTTTGGACTTGTCTACCTAAGGAGTTGTTTGTGATTAACTCCATGTGTGGATACCCTTATTCTGGAACAAAAGTGCTTTTTGTTCCTGTTTAGCTTAACCCACTTATGCTTTCAAAGACTGTCCACACATGGAATTCTTCAGGAACAGCGACTGCACTTTAAATTCACTCCTCATTAACTTTCAAGTGTAGACAAGCCCATAGATAAAGTAGTGCAAACCTCCTCTATGGAGACTTTTACATCAATTTAAATGTAGGTTATACTGAGTTAGAACAAGCAGATTCCTTACAATCCTTAATTAAATCAATTACACCAGTTTTTCTATTTTTTTTAATCAATTCTAGTTAAGCAGGTAACACTGACAAGGCCCTAGATTGTGAGCTCACTAGTACAGGGAGTGCCTGTTGCTTATTTGAACAGTGCATTGTCCAGTGAGGTTTTGATCAGGTCCTTAGATGCTACTGCAATAAGATGATTGAGCGTCAATATACCCCTCTGAGATTGTTGGTAAGCTTCCGTTGTTTGTTTTAAAAATTAGGGAAATGGAGGCAGAACAAGGAAACAATTTACCCAAAGTCACCCAGGAGAGCAGTGGCAGAGCTAGGAACAGAACCCAGAACTCTTGCTCACAGCACACTCTCAAGTTACTGTCAATCACATTTTGTTAGAGATGACAAGGTGAGTGAGGTAATATATTTTATTGTGGTGGTGCCCAACTTTATTACAAAGGTGGGCCACATAAACCTAAGCACAACCTTGTGTGGGTCAAACAGATTATCTATCGGGGGCTGACAGCCCGAGCCCTGCTGTGGGTCTTATAAAATGCTCTGGTGGGCCCTGTATGGCCCACGGGCTGTAGGTTGGGCATCCCCTATTTTACTGGACCAACTTCGGTTGATGAAAGAGACAAGCTTTCCCAGCATCCTACTGTATATTGTGTTGGCATACATTCTTAAAGTGCAGTACATTAAGGCTTATACTGAAAAGAGAGAGGATTAGAAAATACTGTGCACATATAACCTGATTGAGTTAATGGCACAATTTTAACCTTTTGGAATTCCCTGACACAAATGTTTGATCTTGAAACATTAATGCTGGTGGATATCTTCACATGTAGTTTGAAGGTTATTTAAAAGGGAAAATCTGGAGGTAACTGACTTACACAATTCACTTGCAATGGATATGCCAACAGACCTTAAAACAACCAATTAGTGTGCAGATACGCACAATGTGTATTATTCCTTTTTGTATCATAATGTATCTGACAGAACCCTGATTGTTCCCAGGAGTTAGCTATAGCCGTGATACACTAGCACATGAGTTATTGAGAGTTCGGTGGATACCATATAACGTATCAAGGTACTACAGGGACAGACGGTATAAGCCCCATGTGCAATATTGGAATAGGTGAGGTTGTTTTGCAGTCCTCACAGGCACATGAATATCGCAGCTTTCAGTTCAGGACTCCAATTCTAAGCTGGTTTATATGAGATGGTGGAAAAATTGCGGGTAGCCTAGTGTATAGTACTGCTCACACTGTTGCTACCCCAAACTACTCATGTTGGGATATGCATCACTACAGCAGGATGCAGAGCCGAGTTCCTGTAGCAGTTAGCTGTATTTTGATTAGGCATAAATATCAGATCATAAAGGACAGACACGAGTAGCTTTAGAACAAAGACTGGTGTATTTCTACCGGAGTAGATGACACACAGGATGTGTGAGGGATGAATGCATAGATATTCTGAATGGCAAATACAAATATATTTTATTCTGACAAAACTTCTCACAAAGAATGGGACACTGACACTCTTATTTTGTGGTATTGCGGAGCAAAACTGATGTTTCATGCACAACCCGCCACTTTTTCTTTGCATTTTTAAAAATAGGAAGACCCCAGCCAGTTTAAAAAAAGACCTCGGGAAAGGGGTAAGGACAACGAAGTGTAAATGAAGCAGAGTGAATTAGCTGTACAGAGTTCATTTAGCAGTGCATCCACGTTCTGGTTTCTTAGGCCATGTCTACACTAGCTAGCGTACCGATTGAGCTGTGCCACTGTAAGATCTCTCGGGTAGCCGCTCTATGCCAATGGGAGAGAGCTCTCCTGTCGACATAATTAAACTACCTCAAACAAGCGGCGCTAGCTATGTTGGTGGGAGACCATCTCCAGCCAACATAGCGTTATCCACACAGGGGTAACTTATGTAGCTCAGGGTGTGGTTTTATTCACACCCATGAGTGTGATCAGTTATACTGACAAAAGTGCTAGTGTTGACATGGCCTTAGAGAGAGAGAAAATGTACTTCTCTCTTTCAGGGGAAGCTGCTTCTCAATCACTCAGCTGTTTTCTGTGCGATGAAAAATGGAATAATTTAGAGCAAGTTTTCAAAAGCAGATATTAATCCCGGTGTTCCAAGTATAACAAGAAACTGGCCCCAACAGAAAGAGACCAAGATTGCGAGTGATTTTCTCTCACTTTGGTGCAAATCTTTTATTTATCATTTAATACACCATCCATTCATACACCTGTGGTACAAACTCTAGGAACCTGCCACAAAGCATTAAAGCACAACATACCTACTATTCCTTAGACATTTGCATTTTTAACTCTAATATTTAATCTCCAACCAGACAAAATGTCTCAGCAGTCACAATACTAACAAACTTAACAATACTAAAAAAAAAAAAAAAA